AGTTGTTCTTTTCAAGTTTTTTTTTTTTGATTGGCTGTGTTCAAATCAGTTCTGCAGTTCCATGTTGTCCTGGGAGCTGATTGATGCAGTTTTTGTCTACTTTGTGAAGATTATTTGACATTTTGAGGCACAGACTCTCTTGTTTTGACTGTGAAGCTCTGCTCTTATAGGAACTTTGGAAGGAGATGAAATAAATATTGGGCTATTCTGAAGTGAAGTCCTGTGAAACAATTAATGTCTTACCTGTTGTAGATAAGACCTGAATGACATCAGATTGGAGAAATTCTGTTTAGGTTTGACAAAAACTAAAAAGTTAATGGCTAGTCTAAACACAGCTAAACAATATTTCATAAGCCTACATAAATATGTTTACTGCATGATCATTTACATATAATTCTGTGTTTATTTGCAACTGGCCAAAAACAGCAGCTAGTTGTAGCACTTCCAGTGCAGTCTGGTGTTAATTCTAGCAGACATTTAGCTATATATATTTGCCAAAGTAACCATGTAATGCAGAACTGACAGTGTTGTAAAAGTTCAGATAATAGTTTAGCCTGAAATGTTGTGAAATTTATATTACTTTCATATTTTTTTCTTTGAAAAATCAGTCAGATTGTACTGACGAGCAAAAGAATGAGTTGTCTGTGGGAACCAAAGCAGATCATTACCATCTAAAAACAAATTGTCTTCAAAATCCCCTGAATTTTTGTTTACAATCCTACAAAGGAAATATTGTCTATTAGAATAAGCTAATAGGGCAAATACAAATGGTATTCATTTGTTTTCTCTGTAACTCAGAATAAAACATGTTCATGTTATTTTCACTTGATCATTCAGTAAATATATTGATTTTGTTCCATGCAGTGATGCAGGGATAAAGGAAAAATGATGGCATCAAATTTGTCAAAAAAAGAGCAGATGTGTATTTTATGAAGATGATCTAGTTGTCTTACATGTATGTGCTGAACCCTGTTTTAACTGTATTATTTTATGCTTTTATGGATGCTCACATGGTATTTTGCACAATTACATATTTTTTCTTGCTTTAATTGTGAAGCATTTGTGGTATTCTATCTATAAGAGGTGTTATATATTTAAGCTGCTCTGAGTATTCTATACAAAAATCTTGTGAACAAAATACAACAATCTGATTTTTACTGACAGCTTGTAGTCTTGGTTTCTTTATCGCCTCAGATCTGGTCTTTGTCTTCATTTTTCTCCTAATCCTAGATATGTATGTGTCTTTCCAGTCCTAATCCCTCCCTTCCTCACTCCCTTGTCTTCCTCGGTGTCTTTTCCTTCTTGTGCAGCCATTTGCCTCACCCTCCCTCAGCTCCCATCTCTGTTCTCCTCCTCTCTTTGTGTCCGTGGACAGGCACTTACCGCTGGGGATCCTACAGTGCTAATTACTCCCAAATCAACTGTGCAGCCAGGCAACAGCAAATCCCGTGGGAAAGAAACTGAGGATGGGACATCCACTGGATGTCATTTTAGATCAAATTTCACATTTACTTCAGCCTAGTCTCATTCAGACTTTAATTAGTTATTTCTTCTACAGCAGCATTTGTCGGTTGGATCAACCTGTTCTAAATCACAGCGGATATGAAATCTGCTGGTTTTATTGAGCGTGGAGCAGAGCCAGGCTGCTGATGGTCAAGGCCATTTTATACACGAACAGACAAAGATGTCTGCCCTGACAGATCTGCACCATCTTTAGAGCTGCTCCTTCACCTTGTGAATAATAGTGTTATAAAAGCTTTATGCCTACAAAATGCTCTGAAGGCAGATCTGGTTCAGAGGAATATAATGCAGAGTGCACTGAAAGCACAATAACAACAGCTGGCAAACATATAAATCATATTTGTCTGAAAAATGCATAATTTACTGACATATTTGTGAGACAGATAAACACGTTTTTTTTTTCATTTGGTTCTTTTACACTTTATATCTGTCATAAATATTTTCCCCCTGACATATATAAAGAATAGAAAATCCATGTGATGCTTTTTGATTTGGTGAAACTTGTTTTTGTGATGTGGAACATTTTAATGGTGTAATTAAGGTCAATATTTAGCAAGAAAAGTACAAATCTTATATGGTTTTTAAAACAATGGCTCAAAAATAGCCCAGACTGCTTGGTGTGGTCCCAGTAGGCTGCTCTTAATCTTGTCCTTGAAGCTCTGAATTCTAACAGGCTTTCTGCTGACCACGCCCTTTTGAGGGACTGACAGAACAAGCAGCCAACAAACACATTAAAACGTTGTTTATACCACTACTGGAACTATTCGTAAAATTTCTTGTCGTCTTTCTACACCACGTGTCAAACTCAAGGGTTGTGGGCCAAATGTGGCCCACCATGACATTTTATGTGGACCTTCAAACAAATCTTTAAAAGAAGATACTGCTTTAAATCCAACATTACTATAAACTACATCTCCCATAATGCACATTGATATATTGCGTACTGAAACATCCCTCAGGTAAACCCCGTGAAGGGTGGGAGGAACTCTGAATACCGCAGTTCGGAGTTCGAGATAGCAGTTAAACACGACAGCTCAACAGTCAGTAAAACTCTCTTATTTTTACTTTTATAGTACTTCTGTATTTTTTGTTTCACATTCTGTCAGTCATACATGTAGTATTTTTCAGTGTTTGTAAGAGGACGTGTTAAAATGCTGTTTATATGCAGAAAATACCACGTAGAGCTCAGTTATTGTTTTTTAGCTGTGCTCAGCTGTGCAATGAGGCAAGGAATGTGATATTTTGTGTTTAGTCAAAGTTAAACATATAAACAGATAAAAGCAAGTTTTTGAAGATATATGTAAAGTAAAATGTGAAGCTATTTGATTTGTTGTTTGAGTTGATGCTTTTATGTTGTTGTTTTTATTTTTATTTATTTTATTATTTTTATTTTATGTTATTTAGTATTGCTTTGTAAATTATGTTTCATTTGAATATAACTGCGTCGAAAAGGGGCAGACAAAATAAGATTTAAGGGCTCGGCACACGGGCAGCGACAAACTACAGCGATTAACGGCTGYCATCDCAGCCAGGGTGAAACCCGACACACGGGACGCGATAGCGATCGCAGCGTTGCGAATCGCGCTCTTTCAGGTCGCTTGTCTTCACAAAATTTGATTGGTTCTTGACTCTGAAGG